CCCCAAAACCCCAAAACCCCAAAACCCCAAAGTCAGAAATGTTAAATTTACGGTTCCTTACAACTTAAATAAATTAACTAAATTCATAATTTAATAAATAGCTATATCAATTTTTAAACGTATTCGTGAACTTTGCCCCTCTTCGGACCAGCTCCTAGGATATTGAGACCGGGCTGATTGGAATATGTTCATCTGTCATTAGGACTGAACTAATGCCAGTACCTGCGGTTCCTACAACTAAGTTATTACTTTGCGATAATATAGAAGTGTCAAACTAATTCAACCTCAATATATTTCTTCTTTTCCCCTACTATCCAGTCGTTAATTAAGACTACGGCTAGTTATTAAGATTTTCAAGCTTTTTAGTATAGTTTTAGATGATAATATCTTTCTCTATCCTTCTTCGATCCTTTGAGTAAATCGGCATCCCAGTTTCCTCGAATGGTCTCTCACTGCTTTGATTCATTAATTTTCTCACATCCTCAATTAATTCCTTATTTACCGACTTGAATAGATTTTTTCTAAGTTCTAACTACTATCTTTCTGAAAAGCTTTGAGAATACTTATGCCTTTTGACTAGCTTACCCGGCAGTCTTGAACCTGCATAATAAGTTGGTGTTTGAAACTTTTGTTATTTATTCTATGTATTATAGTCTTCATTGTTTGCGGTGGTTGAATTTTGAGTATTTATATAAGGGTTTTAAGTAGTATTCATATTATTCTTAGTCTCAAAACTTGCATCAAAATTAATATGTCGAGATCCGTTTAATAAATTAATATTTTTTCCTTTTTTTTGATTGAGTAAGCCATGATACTGCAGGATAGGAACTTTCCTCTTTTTTTATTCAATCATTTTAGGTAGCTCTTTTTCTTCAGACTGCTCTATAATTGGTGAGGCGGGTTTGAAATCCTAGCTTTAAATGCAAATATTGCTGAATACTATATCATTTTTCCTCATAAAAGTGTTCTGAGTTTGATCAAAGCTTCTGTTAGTTATGAGGTCCTATTAAACACTCTAGTTCAACATCGCAATATATTCCTCATTCCAAAATGGAGCCATTTTAGTCTTCCTGGGCTTTCGGTTTGGGAACTCTTTCTTTATGGTAGGGGTTTTCGCTAGGTACAAATTATCCAATTGAATGTTTATTTATGGTAAATAAGTAGGAGATTTACGTCTTGTGTAAATGTTATTAGTATAGTCGTCAATTTATCCGTTATCTTAGGTAAATGCATCCTTGGTTAATTAGTGCTAGGTTAATATCGATTAAGATTCTAGACGGGGTTGCTAATTTTTATGGGAGTTTTCATTTCTATAGAAGGAGAGGTTTGACATACTCTGTCTTTTCCTCTGTATCATAACGTTTAAGTCTAAATTAATTTTCACCCTATCTTGATTAAAAGGAGAGGGGCTCTCGTTATCCGTGTTTAGTTACTCTGTCTAGCCCTAAATGAATCAAACGGGTTTTGTGAGTTGATCCAGATTCTTGGAATATGAGAAGAGCTGTGAATATACAACTGAATCCTTTTTCATTTTTATTAATTTATCTATCAATTATTACAATTTAATGAAAATAACATTATCTAAACAAATTAACTCAATCAAACTCCTAGGCAGATTCATTGAATTATCCGCAAGAAGTAAAGATACTAAAATGAGACTCATTTATAAGGAATGGAATTAGATAGGTTCTCAAGAAAGGTAGCTTGGCCGAGTGGTCCAAGGCGCTAGCTTTAGGCGCTAGTCCGAAAGGGCGTGGGTTCGAACCCCACAGCTATCAGTCTTTTTGTCAGATTAAGTTTTGCTACATTACCATTCTATTAAATTAATAATTTCACCTTTAATTATCAGATTTAACTTTAATATATATAGTTTGAGATTTATTTTAAGTAATTAACTATAAACACAATATATACATATCATACCTTAAAATCACACAGCATAAATAACTAATTCAATCATTTGCTCTTTCATTGAGAGATCAGCAGATTAATACAAACCATCCCGAAGAAGCAAACGATAAGTCCGATCGTCACATTAAATTTGAAATTTTTTATTTACAATTCTTTTTCATTAAGAGAGATATTTTTTCTGAGTAATGAATCTTTTAGCTCTTAATTTTGCCTTTTCAGCTCGTCTAGAGTGGTTCTGTTAACTTACTAGACCATACTCAGTTCCAACTCCTTTTACTACAGCTTGCCTCTGAGTTCTTAATTCTACTGTTAATTGGAGGTGAAATCTCTACTGTTATTAAATATATTATTAGTAATGATTGATTGGTTTGTCGCTTGAATTGAGTTAAGACTAGATATAACTAATCTGCTAGAATCCAAGTCAATCTGAGAACTGTTCAAAGGCCCTCCATTTCTTGAAGACCTCTGAAGGCTATCAATTATTCTCTTCAAGTTCTCAATTTCAAAGTCTTTATCTTTTAGCAACTACCTTAAATCATTGACACCTGAAGCATCCAAGTTACTAATTTAAGTTGTTGGCTTAAAGTTTAAAGGTAATCTTTGGTTTTTTGACTCTTGATTCTATTTAACCTTTAGTTCTTTATTCTCTTTTTGCAAAGCTTTAAGTTCTTAAAAATGCTTCTCATCCTATAGTGCTAACTTCATCTCTAATTACTGAATTTACTTTTAATAATTCTAATCCTATCTCTTGTTCTAATCCTCTGCGACCTTTGTTTTACCCTCAATGATTAATATCTAATATTCAAACTCCTTAAACATCTCCTAAAATTCTTCAATCATTGAATCTTTGGCCTCTATCTGTTCTCTATAGGCATCGATTGCCAACTATTGATCTGATTGCAAATTTTTAGCCTCTGCCAGCTGACTCAACATAAACAGCTATTCTTGCTTGCACTAATCAATCTGGATTTGCAAATACTTTACATGCCTCTTACTGTTTATGAGTTAAAGCTCTATTGATTAGCTATCAATTGATACTTAGTTAAGACAAGTTCTTAGGTCCATCACTTTCATATTGAATTCTTGGTTCGCTGATATTTGATCTTGGCGGATAATTTCCTAGACTTGATCAATCTTGAACATTAGATCTTCATCGTTCATTAAAGATTAGTCATGCAAGTTATTGTTGTAAGTTCTCTGAGCTGAGCTGAAAATTCTCTCATTTGGAATCTAGACGACTCTAGATCTGCCTCTAGGTGTCACCTTAGCACTATTAGCGCTGAATATTAGATTGTTCTTGATTGAGAAATTATTGTTAGATTAACTTGGGACAGAAGTTTTATGTGCGGTCATTTGAGCATGCCTCTCTGACTGAGGGGATTCAATGCTTAAATTTCTGTGATACTGCTTGGACAAGGTAGTCTTCTAGTTGTACTGAGAAGAACCGTAATTTATGTTACCCTCTTGATAGTAAGATCTTTCCTTCAATGGACTTAATGCAATTGTGTCGCACAAAATGTAATTCTCGACGAATAGCTTATGCTGAGTTTATCCCATAGAATCACTTAAATTCTCTTTTTGAGATGCAAAAGACTGCTGGAGTACAATATTGTGAGAATTATCCTGCCTTGAAGTAGAAGCATTCTGACTGGATTTGCTTTTGTCAGCATCTGGTCTAATTTAACCTGATGTGAATTCGTAGTTATCTTTGCTGCTGCTCATTAATCTTACTTGATTAATTTTCACTTTATAAATTAAATTTAAATTCAAACATCTCTATTTATTCTAGTCTCTTTCATCATGGGGGTTTTGGGGTTTTGGGGTTTTGGGGTTTTGGGG